TCTCAGGCCGCCGTTGCTGCTTCATATCCCCGCATCGGACCCGGGCAGCGGCGGCGGAGGCGGCGCGGCGATCCGGGAGCCGAACGTGTCGAGCCTGCGAGGAATCATTAATAACTGGTAATAACAGTTCATCACATGTACATGTCGCCCGGCCGCCCCAACGCGTCGCGCCTATGGATCAATCATTCACCACTCAGAAGAAGAAGAACAAGAATGTAGCATGCGGCCCCCGCGCGTGTCGAGCCTCCGAGAGAGGTACGCGTCATAGTCCCCGCTGCTCTCGTGCCCCCTAACGAACAAGAAACCCCAACGTCAGCTTCTCCTGCGCCAAAACCCCGCCCACCCCGCCCACCCCGCCCACCCCTCCCCCCTCTCTCCCTCTCCCTCACCGCCGCGGCGGCCGGAACTGAAACAAGTCGACCGGCTGCTGCGGCGCCGCCTCGCTCCGCCCTCCTCCTCCTCTTCCACCTTCTCCTTACGATCCGGGGTCTCAACCCGGTGGTCTATTACGTGACGATGATCTCGTCGCCGAAACTGTCTGTCTGACGTCAAGGCGCCTGATTCAACTCATTAATGGGGCTTAATTAAGGAACTCGCGGTGCCAGCGCTGCCGTCTGACGTCGAGGCGCCGAAGATGACTTGCGCGTCCTCGTCCGCGATCTCCGCCAGCAGATCGCCCACCCTCCGCACCTAGTTGGTTCGTCCATCGGTGAACTAACGAACCGCCGCGATCTCCGCCAGCAGATCGCCCACCCTCCGCACCTAGTTGGTTCGTCCATCGGTGAACTAACGAACCGCCGCGATCTCCGCCAGCAGATCGCCCACCCTCCGCACCTAGTTGGTTCGTCCATCGGTGAACTAACGAACCGCCGCGATCTCCGCCAGCAGATCGCCCACCCTCCGCACCTAGTTGGTTCGTCCATCGGTGAACTAACGAACCGTCGCGATCTCCGCCAGCAGATCGCCCACCCTCCGCACCTAGTTGGTTCGTCCATCGGTGAACTAACGAACCGTCGCGATCTCCGCCAGCAGATCGCCCACCCTCCGCACCTAGTTGGTTCGTCCATCGGTGAACTAACGAACCGCCGCGATCTCCGCCAGCAGATCGCCCACCCTCCGCACCTAGTTGGTTCGTCCATCGGTGAACTAACGAACCGCCGCGATCTCCGCCAGCAGATCGCCCACCCTCCGCACCTAGTTGGTTCGTCCATCGGTGAACTAACGAACCGTCGCGATCTCCGCCAGCAGATCGCCAGCCCTCTCCGCACCTCTTGCAGCGACACCGACGGCCCGCCTAATTATTAGATAATTAACTATTAATTATGAGATAATTAACCTCTGGCAGCGACACCGACGGCCCGCCCTGCACGGCGTACACCAGCCCCCGCACCTAGTGAATCGAGTCACTCATTACTGAATCAAATCATGCGTACACCAGCCCCCCTCCCAATCGTTGACTCATTAGTCAGCTAGCTATAGCAAAAGTAGCAAAAGCACCTGCCGCAGCTCGATGTCCAGCAGCGGGGAGGAGATCGCAGCCCGCGCGGCCTAATCAACGACTTATTCGCTGTGAATTACACGCCCAGCAGCGGGGAGGAGATCGCAGCTCGCGCGGCCTAATCAACGACTGATTAGCTGTGAATTACACGCCCAGCAGCGGGGAGGAGATCGCAGCTCGCGCGGCCTAATCAACGACTGATTAGCTGTGAATTACACGCCCAGCAGCGGGGAGGAGATCGCAGCTCGCGCGGCCTAATCAACGACTGATTAGCTGTGAATTACACGCCCAGCAGCGGGGAGGAGATCGCAGCCCGCGCGGCCTCGGACGCCCGGTCGGGGCCTGAGGCGCGCCCGACGGCGACCAAGCCGAGGCCGGCGCCGGAAATGACGGCGCGCAGGTCGGCGAAGTCGACGTTGATGAGCTGCGAGGAGGAGAGGAGGGAGGCGATGCCGAGGATCGCCTGGTTAATAGGTAATTCGTTCGTTGATTCGTTCATTCAGGAGAGGAGGGAGGCGACGCCGAGGATCGCCTGCCGCAGCACCTCGTCGGCCGCGTACAGCGTCTCCGTCACCTATTAATGAAATAGTTAATTAATTATTGGGGAATTAATTAACTATGCCGCGTACAGCGTCTCCGTCACCTATTAATGAAATAGTTAATTAATTAGTAGGGAATGAATTAACTGTGCCGCGTACAGCGTCTCCGTCACCGACGTGCCCGGAGGAAGGATGGTGGCGAGCCTGTTATTAATTGGTTACTAATTATGGAATTAGTTATTAATTATGTCACCGACGTGCCCGGAGGAAGGATGGTGGCGAGCCAGCCGAGATGCAGCCGAGATATAGACGAGATGCAGACGAGATGCAGCCGAGATGCAGCCGAGAGGCAGCCGAGAGGCAGCCGAGATGCAGCCGAGATGCAGCCGAGATGTAGCCGAGATATGGGGGAGAGATTGCCTGTCGTTGTCGACGTGTATCAGCAAGTCTGCCGACGGCGCCAACTGCGCCATCGCCTCCGCCGCCGCCGCGCCGCGCACCGCCCCCTCGAAAGCGAACGGGGTAGTCACGACGGCAATAGTGAGCGCGCCTGTGATTAATAATGAATAATTAACGAATTCGTGATTCACTGAGGGGGTAGTCACGACGGCAATAGTGAGCGCGCCTGTTCCAGATTAAATACTAGTTAACGAATCAGTGACTCATTAATGGGGGTGGTGGCGACGGCGACAGTGTGGAGGGAGACCAGCTGCAAGTGTGAAGGGAAACCGGGGTCGTGCGTTTATGTGAAGGGAAAGCAGCCGCAAGTGTGAAGGGAAAGCAGCTGCAAGTGTGAAGGGAAAGCAGCTGCAAGTGTGAAGGGAAGAGACACCGAGTCTCTTGGCGGTAGCGGCGACGACGGGGGCGGCGCCGGAGCCGGTGCCTCCGCCGAGCCCCGCCGTGATGAAGACGAGGTCGGGGGGAGAGCCCTCCTCGCCCAGGGACAGCAGCGACGCCTGGTGAAGGCAATGGTTCAGTGAGTAAGTAGGTGATGGAGGCGACCCCTCCCCCCCCAACGACAGCAGCGACGCCTCGACCTCGAGGAATCTCAATCTCGTGTGATCTCGTGCAATCTCGAGCAGCCTCGCTCAGCCTCGTGCAATCTCGTGCAATCTTGTGCAATCTCGCCTCGATCTCGCGGATCGACGCCGCCGCCGCCTCGCCGCCCCTCGCCGGCTTGCCCCCCGCGCCTAATCAATGATTAATGGACTGTTAACGACAACTGTCAATGACACGTCCTCTCGCCGGCTTGCCCCACGCGCCGCGGCCACGCAGCGTCGAGGCGCCTGAATGAGTGAATTGAGCGTTAATTCATTAATAACTATTCAATCGAGCGGCCACGCAGCGTCGAGGCGCCCAGCAGGATGCGATTGGGCATGTCGGACGACCAGAGCGCCTGAGAGATGGGGAGATATGGGGAGATAGGGGGAGATGTGGGAGATGTGGGGAGATGTGGCATGTCGGACGACCAGAGCGCCTGAGAGATGGGGGGAGATGTGGGGAGATGTGGGGAGATGTGGGGAGATGTGGGGAGATAGGGGGAGATGTGGGAGATGTGGGGAGATGTGGCATGTCGGACGACCAGAGCGCCTGAGAGATGGGGAGATAGGGGGAGATAGGGGGAGATAGGGGGAGATAGGGGGAGATGTGGGAGATGTGGGGAGATGTGGCATGTCGGACGACCAGAGCGCCTGAGAGATGGGGAGATGTGGCGAGATGTGGGGAGATGTGGGGAGATGTGGCGGGTCGGACGACCAGAGCGCCTGAGAGATGGGG